GGAGCGGAGCCGTTGGATGGAGGGAGGGAAGGAACGCTGGGATTCAGGCGCGGCAGGGCCAGGCCGGGAGCCTCCGGCGGAGACAGAATTCCGTGATCCCTGCGGAAAAACGTGGGAAAAGCGGCGTTTGCCCGGGATCTGGAGGCTCTCAGCGGTGGGGAGGATCCTGAAAATGCCCTGCTTGGAATTCCGGCTGCTCCAAGCTTTTCCCAGAGTCTGGAATTCCCAAACTTGGCTCGGATTGCAGCAGGAAAGATCCCAAGAATTCCCTGCTTGGGAATTCCAGCTGCTCCAAGCCTCTCCCCAGGTCTGGAATTCCCAAATCTGGCTCTGATTGCCATGAGGAGGATCCTGAAAATTCCCTGCTTGGAATTCCGGCTGCTCCAAGCTTTTCCCAGAGTCTGGAATTCCCAAACTTGGCTCAGATTGCAGCAGGAATTCTGGAAATTCCCTGCTTGGAATTCCGACTGTTCCAAGCCTTCCTCCCAACCCACCGGAATTCCGGGAGCAAAAAACCAGGAAAAAAAACACAGGGCTGGAAAATATGGGATGAGAGGGCCTGGAAGCACAATCCTGATGCCAATCCCCATCCCAATCCCATTCCCAATCCCAATCCTGATCCAATCCCAATCCCAATCCAAATCCCATTCCTGATCCCAATCCCAATCCCATCCCAATCCCATTCCTGATCCCATCCCAATCCCAATCCCAGTCCCAATCCCATTCCTGATGCCAATCCCATCCCAATCCTAATCCAAATCCCATTCCTGATCCCAGTCCTGATCCCATCCCAATCCCAATCCCATCCCAATCCCAATCCTGATCCAATCCCAATCCCAATCCCAATCCCAATCCCATTCCTGATCCCAATCCTGATCCCATCCCAATCCCATCCCAATCCCAATCCTGATCCAATCCCAATCCCAGTCCCAATCCCAATCCCGGTCCCAGTCCCAATCCCAATCCCAGTCCAATCCTAATCCCAATCCCATCCTAATCTGAATCCCAAACCCAATCCTATCCTAATCTCAATCCAATCCCAATTCAGATCCCAATCTCATTCGCATCCTGATCCCAATCCCAATCCAACCCCAACCCCAGTCCCAATCCCATCCCAACCCCAATCCCATCCCAATCCCATTCACATTCCCATTCCAATCCAATCCCAATCCCAATCCCATCCGAATCCAATACCAGTCCCAATCCCAATCCCATCCCAATCCAATCCAATCCCATCCCAATCCAATCTCAATCCAATCCCAATCCCATCCCAATCCAATCTAATCCAATCCCAATCCCGTCCCAATCCCAATCCCATCCCAATCCCATCCCAATCCCATCCCATCCCTGATCCCAATCCAATCCCATCCCAATCCAATCCCATCCCAATCCCGATCCCATCCCAATCCCAATCCCAAACCCATTCCTGATCCAATCCCAATCCCAATCTAATCCCATCCCAATCCCATCCCAATCCCAATCCCAATCCCAATCCCATCCCATCCCAATCCCATCCCAATCCCATCCCAATCCCAATCCCAATCCCATCCCAATCCCATCCCAATCCCATCCCAATCCCAATCCCAATCCCATCCCAATCCCAATCCCAATCCCAATCCCAATCCAACTCCAAATCCCCAGGAAACCCCAGAACTCCGCCAACAAAAACCCCCCAAACCCCCAAAGCCCCGGCTCCGCGTTCCCTCCCGGCTGCCCGGGGGCGGGAATTCCGGGCTGGAATTCCGGGAATTCCGGGAATTCTTTGGGAATGGCGCACCTGTCGATGACGTGGATGCCCATGATGAAGGGCTGCAGCTCCGGGCTCGAGGGGTAGCAGAGCTTGCACTTGGTGTGGGCGCTCAGCACCGAGCCGTCGCTCAGCGTGAAGCGGTACGAGGGGCTGAAGGCCGCGCCCCGCGTCATCACTGAGGGGAAAACACACGGAATTCCAAGAGAATTCCAGGAAATCCTGGGAATATCCCAAGAAAATCCCGAGAGAATCCTGAAAAGAATCCCAAAAATCACAGTGGGACAAAGGGGAGTCGGCACGGAGCCGGCGCTGGGTGGGAAGGGGATGAGGGGCTGAAGGCCGCGCCCCGCGTCATCACTGAGGGGAAAAACACAGAATTCCAGGAGAATTCCAGGGAAATCCAGGAAAAATCCTGAGAAAATCCCAAGAAAATCCTGAAAAAAATCCCCAGAAAATCAAAAAAAATGCTAAAAGTCTTCAACACGGAGCCGATGCTCAGCAGGAAAGCGACGAGGGGCTGAAGGCCGCGCCCCGAGTCATCACTGAGGGCAAAACACACAGAATTCCAGGGAAAACGGGGAAAAAACTGGGAAAATCCCGAGAAAATCCTGAGAAAATTCCAAGAAAATTCCAAGAAAATCCCAAGAAAATGTTATAAATCCTGATAGAGAACTGGGACATTTGGCACCGAGCCGGCGCAGGGCGGGAAGGGGACGAGGGGCTGAAGGCCGCGCCCCGCGTCATCACTGAGGGGAAACACACAGAATTCCAGGGAAAACAGGGAAAAATATGGGAACAGCTGGGAAAATTTTGAGAAAATCCTGAAGAAATCCTGGGAAAATCAAAAAAAGATGCTAAAAATCCTCAACATGGAGCCAGCGCTCGGCGGGAAGGGGACGAGGGGCTTGAGGTGGTGTCGGGGTCATCACTGAGGGGAAAACACCTAAATCCTGGGAAAATTCTGGGAAAAACATGGAAAAATCCTGGAAAAATCCCGAGAAAATCCTGAGAAAATCCCCACTTCAAGGGAAATTAATCCCAAAAATCACAATGGGACAAAGGGGAGTCGGCACTGAGCCAGCGCTGGGGGGGAAGGGTACGAGGGGCTCAAAGCTGAGCCCAAGGTCATCACTGAGGGGAAAACACACAGAATTCCAGGGAAAATCTGGGAAAAAACTGGGAATATCTTGAGAAAATCCCAAGAAAATCCCACTCGGATCCCAAAAATCACAGTAGGACAAGGGGGGAGTCGGCACGGAGCCGGAGCTCGGCAGGAAACTGACAAGGGGCTGAAGGCCACGCCCCGAGTCATCACTGAGGGGAAAAACACCTAAATCCTGGGAAAAACATGGAAAAATCCTGGAAAAATCCTGAGAAAATCCCAATCCAATCCCCAAATCCCCATTTCAAGGGAAATTCATCCCAAAAATCGCAATGGGACGAAGGGGAGTCAGCACGGAGCCAGCGCTCGGCGGGAAGGGGACGAGGGGCTCAAAGCTGAGCCCAAGGTCATCACTGAGGGGAAACACACAGAATTCCAGGGAAAACAGGGAAAAATATGGGAACAGCTGGGAAAATTTTGAGAAAATCCTGAAGAAATCCTGGGAAAATCAAAAAAAGATGCTAAAAATCCTCAACACGGAGCCAGCGCTCAGCGGGAAGGGGACGAGGGGCTTGAGGTGGTGTCGGGGTCATCACTGAGGGGAAAACACCTAAATCCTGGGAAAATTCTGGGAAAAACATGGAAAAATCCTGGAAAAATCCCGAGAAAATCCTGAGAAAATCCCAAAATCCCCACTTCAAGGGAAATTCATCCCAAAAATCGCAATGGGACAAAGGGGAGTCGGCACCGAGCCGGCGCTGGACAAGCAGGGGACGAGGAGCTCGAGGTGGTGCCAGGGTCATCGCTGAATGGAAAAACACAAAATTCCCAAGAAAAACCTGGAAAAAACTGGAAAAACCCAAGAAAATCCCAGGAAAACCTCCAGAAACCACCCCCCCCAAAAAAAAACCCCGCTAAAATCACCGCGCCGTCGCTCCGGCGCCGAATCCGCGCTAAAAAAAACCCCTTTAAAATCCCAGAAAAAAAATCTCGGAAAAATCCTGGAAAATTCCCGAGGAATTCCTGTTCCCGGATTACCTTCCTGGAAGAGCTGCTTGGCGTAGGAGGGCTCGCGGCCCTGGGGCTGGAAGAAGGCGTAGATGCATTTCCGGACCAGATCCTCCCAGCCCGTCCGGCCGGCGGCGCGCAGGGAGCTGGTGTCGATGGAGATGATTTTTCCTGGGAAAACGAGCCCCGGGAAAAAAGGGATTTGGGAAATTCGGGAAGTTGGGAATGGTGGGCGGGAAAGCGAGGGGGAGGTGCTGGTCCGAAGGATTTTGGGGTTGAGGGTGGTCAGGATCGATCCCGAAGGGGTTTTATGGAATTCTGGGAAGGGAGATTCTTCATGGAATTCCAAATTTCCAGGGAATTCCTGAAATTCCTGCCCAGAGTTGGGATTGGGATGGATTCCCAGGCTGGGAACTCCCTGGAAAAAGGGGGAGGGATTTTGGGAGGAATTCCCGAAGAATCCCTGGGAGCGTCCAAGGAAAAGCTGGATGGGGTTGGGAATGAGATGGGATTCGGAATCCACGGATCCCATCCCAAGGAATTCCGGGATTCTGGGATCCAGGAGGCTCAGGATCCATCCCAAGGGATTTTTATGGAATTCTGGGAAGGGAGACCCTTCCTGGAGTCCCCAATTCCCAGGGAATTCCCAAAATTCCTTCCCTTGGGATGGGGCTGGATCCAACCCCAGGCTGGGAATGGAGAGAATTCCATGGGAAAAGGGGAGCTCTGGCCGGGATCTTGGGAAGAAATTCCCAAAGAATCCCTGGGAACACCCAAGGAACGCCGGGATCCCCCCGGCACCGCGGGGCTGGATGCGATTCCAGCTCCATGAATCCCACCCCAAACCATCCCGGAATTCCACAATTCCCACCCGTCCTTCCCACAAATCCCCAACCTCCGGACCCCCCAAAATCCCGGGATTTGGGGCAGAATTCCTGGGAATTTACCCGTGGTGTCCTGTTTGGTGACGAAGGACTCGACCGGGGCTTGGGGGGCCGGGCGCGGCAGCCTCCGGGCGATGCAGATCAGACACGACTGGAAATCTGGGAAAAACACCGGGAAAAACGTCGGGAATGCCGGAAACCTTCCGGGAATTCCAGCTTTGAATCCCAATCTCGCTCCGGGGTTTGATTCCCTGCCCTGGGAGCGTTTTCCTGGAGGAATTTCCTCCCTCCCTGCTGAGGGAATGGGATTTAATTCCCTAAAATTCCCTGGGAAAGGCTCGGGGGGGTTGATTGTGGGGATTTCCGGGATGTTGGGATAACGGGATAGGTGGAATCTGTCCCTTCCGGGCAGGATCTCCTGTGGGAATGGTGGGATTCATCCCGGGAACGCGGTGGGAAAAGCTGGATGGGGCAGGGAAAGGGGCTCAGAGAGGGAGAGCGACAACGGATCCGGCCCCGCCTGAATCCCAATCCCAATCCCAGACCCAATCCCAATCCCAGTCCCAATCCCAATCCCAGTCCCAATCCCAATTCTAATCCCAGTCCCAGTTCCAATCCCAGTCCCAATCCCAATCCCAGTCCCAATCCCAATCCCAGTCCCAATCCCAGCCCCAATCCCAGTCCCAATCCCAGTTCCAATCCCAGTCCCAATCCCAATCCCAGTCCCAGTCCTGCACTGTCATCCCAATCCCAGTCTCAGTCTCATCCTAATCCCAATCCCAACCTCATCCATTCCCATCCCATCCTCCAAATTCAAATCCCAAATTCCCATCCAATCCCAATTCCCAAATCCAATCCAAATCATCCCATCCCAAATTCCCATCCCAATCCCAATTACAATCCTCCACCCCATTCCAATCTCAACCTCATCCCAATCCCAACCCCAATCCCCGTTCCAATCCCAACCCCAATCCCAGTTCCAATCCCAGTCCCAATCCCAATCCCAACCTCATCCATTCCCATTCCAAACCCATTCCAATCCCAAATTCCCATCGCAATCCCAATCCAATCCCATCTCAATCCAAATCCCAATCCCAATCCCAGCTGGCAGCCGGTGAAGCACCGCATTCCATCCCACATTCCCACATTCCCAGGATAATTCCCGTGGGTTATTCCCGGGATCATTCCCAGATTTTCCCATGGTTTATTCCCACATTCCCGTGGTTTATTCCCGGGATCATTCCCAGATTTTCCCATAGGTTATTCCCACATTCCCATGGGATCATTCCCAGATTTTCCCGTGGTTTATTCCCACATTCCCGTGGTTTATTCCCGGGATCATTCCCAGATTTTCCCATGGTTTATTCCCACATTCCCGTGGTTTATTCCCGGGATCATTCCCAGATTTTCCCATAGGTTATTCCCACATTCCCATGGGATCATTCCCAGATTTTCCCATGGTTTATTCCCACATTCCCGTGGTTTATTCCCGGGATCATTCCCAGATTTTCCCATAGGTTATTCCCACATTCCCATGGGATCATTCCCAGATTTTCCCATGGTTTATTCCCACATTCCCGTGGTTTATTCCCGGGATCATTCCCAGATTTTCCCATAGGTTATTCCCACATTCCCGTGGTTTATTCCCGGGATCATTCCCAGATTTTCCCATAGGTTATTCCCACAT